CCTGCTGTCTTTTTGCCTCTGCTGGCCCTCACCAGAGTTCTGGCTTAGTGTTTTTAAGAAAAGAGATATCACCCCTTGCTGTGCTCCAACCCTTCTCAAGCAATTACTGTTTTAGTCCCAGCTACTCAACTTCAGTACCTGCTTCATCTACCAGCATGCATGACAACTGAACTTCAGAAAATGTGGGCATATTCTCCTTGCAGTAGGGGGTTTGCTCCACTGGTAGAACATGTGATGGCAATATGAACTAATGAGCGACTGCCAAGAACACCTGCAGAAGCACAGACTTGCTTGACTGTGTGGCACTTGATGGGCTACTAGGAAGGTTGGAGGTTTGTCTGCTACTCTCTGGCAGAGCTCTTTGAAGAAGGAAATTCAGTGAGAAACAATGGAGGTGAGTGCTACAAAAAAGCAAAAGTTGTTGTTGTTAGATGAGATGCAACCAGATCCTTTTTACTTCTAGATTGCCAATGTAAATTTCCACCACAAAACAGCCTGTTGTTTTAGATGCTACAACAGCAGTATTCAAATTTCACTCTGCTCTTGAAATTCATTTTAGATTTGACTGAGCTATAAACTTGAAAATCACTGGTCTCTTCCTGTTTCCTGCTTCTTTGGGAAAATGTTGGTAACCTGAGGGAGCAACTGCATCAGCACCCTACCTTTCCAAGAGGCAGTGGAGAACCACCAGAGCAGCAGCAGTTAACATAGCAGGGATGGAAAAGCCATGTGGGTGGGTGTGTGTATAACAATATGATACACCATACAATAGCTCCTAGTGCCTGAATAGGAAACATTGCAACAACTTTTCACTAGAAGGGTGAAACAAAAAACAAACATTTGCAGTTGGGGGTAGATTTAGCTTTGTGTTCATCAGGTGATGTTCTGGTTTTACCATTGGTATGCCTATAAGGGTCTAAGGTGCAGATTTTAGTGTACAAACCTCTGATCGTTTGGTCAAGGGGACTGCAAGATGCAGCACTGAGATAAATTTTGCTAGGATTGTTTTAAAGGCAAGTGAGGCTCATCCCAAGCTGCAGAGCTGAAAAGAGCTATGTTACAAGCACAGAAGGCAAAGGCTGCATTAGGGAATTGGGAACAGACATTGTTACCTTGTAATAGTCATACTGTACTGAACCTGCCTGGGAGGGTGGCCTGGATTCCAGTCTCTACTCCAAAGACGGTAGCGGTAAACTTCAAACTAGGGTGTCCCCCATCCCACCAACATGTTCTAAAAATGGGAATGTCCATTTTCACTCTCATCTTCTTTTCCTTTCCTGCCTTTCCTGTGATGTCCTTTCTAATAGGCCTGTTTTGAGAACACTTCTAAAATTGGACCTCAGAGGCAGGACACTGCCTGGTGTGAGAGTGCTGTTAGGGCTTATGTGCTTTTAGCAGTAAGGAGTCTGCATGTCCATCAGTTGCTCCTAGGTTTCTTTAGGTGGACAAAAGGGTTGAAAATCCTAGTGTCAGCAAAGTCTCTTTGTGGGTGTAGGCTGTCAAAGAAGGCTAGGGAGTTGAGAAGGTTCAGGCTCACTCCATGCATTAGGCTCTCAGAAATAAGATAGGTGGAAGTGAGGTGAGAATAGCCAAACCTGGTTCTTAAGACAGGCCAATAAGACTCATGCTGTGTACATGTCATAGGCCTGTGATGGTAAGAATAGGTACAATCAATCCAACACAGACACACAACTCAGGGGTGCTGAGGGATTGCAAAAGGCAATTTGTCATGTTACAGACACAACAGTTAATGCAACTCTGCATGCTCCAGTTAAAGCACCGTGAAGTGGTTTGAGAAGACACATACTAAGCCTATGCAACGAAATGCAAAAACCTTCCCAGTTAAGATGATAGCTCCCACTAATATACATATAAGAACTACTAGAACTATTTTATATAGAAGAACTAGAAATGATGCAAAGGACAAGGATGATCAAAGGTATGGAGGAGCCTTTCATGTGAGGAGAGACTAATGGGCTAGGACTTGGCTTAGAAAAGAGACACTGGAGGTAGGGGACATGATAGAGATTTACAAAATATTAAATGATGCAAAGAAAGTAAATAGGGAGTGTTTACAGTCTCTCTCAATACAAAGACTAGGGGACATAAACCTACTACTCAATAGTTTCATTTTTAAACTAAGAAAACAGTTCTTTTTTGCACTTGTAGAACTCACTGCCGCAAGAAGTTGTAGAGGCTAGTAGTAGCTTAACCCAGTTCAAATGGGGATTGGACCACTTCTTGGAGGAAAGGTCCATCAGTCAGTACTGAATACAGTAGGTAACAGTGCAGTCTCTGCAACAACTTCCTAAACCTCTGAAATGTTGGAAGTTGCCTTGGGAAAAGAGCTGGGAGTGGAAAATTCTGCACATGCCTATTCATACTCTCTATGAGCATCTACTCTGCATGAGACAAGGTACTGGGCTTGATGGACCTATGGTCTGACTCAGTAAATAGCGGTTCTTATGTATACAACCATAACTCTACCCTATTCGATGCTGGTACCTTTCTGTCAAACAAACCTGATGGTGTCCCATTAGAGCCTCCCATTAGCCTTCTACCGGCCTGCATTGTGCTCTATGCAGCATTATGGCTGGAAGAAGTACATGTTGCCACACCTCTACAGTTTGCAATCTTTGTGTACCACTGGGAGATATCAACTGTTAGATAACTATCCTGTTAGAAGAACCAGAAACTATTCTAAAATGTTTGAATGTCACTGAGGGTTGATTTGGGGGACTTGTTTGTTTGTACTCTGTTACTTAATAGTAGCTTCTCGTGCAAGCCCAAGCCAGAAATGTGCAAAGCTATGAAGACCTGACTTCTCCTGTTGGCCTCGTCTAGAAAACATCTGTTGCTTATAGCCTCTCTTGATGCTGCCAAGCAAGCCCTAGGATCACTATTGTGAAGACCTCTGTGAGTTTTGAACAGGGTCATGACGTTTTAGTTTCATTTCTTTTGATTAGCAGCCTTGGAGTTTCATTTTGACTTCCCTTGAAACCTCAAAGCAAACTTCAACTGAACCCAACATGTTTGATCTGCTTTTCAAAAATACATTTTTTAAGTGTCACATGGTTTGTACAAAAACCGAGTACAGATATGTCCAGCTTGGATTGAAACTCAGTGCTGCATCTGCATGTTCTGTGTCATCTGATTTCAATATTAAATTCTTTCTGATTAAGGCACAGGCATAATTTTACATTAAGAAATTATAAAAACAATTACTTAAAAGCACGCCACCTACTACTCAAGTAGGCAATGCAGGTTGTATTCAAGAATCGCTTCCTTTTGCAGTCAGTTTCCCATGTAGCTATTTGTTCTTTTCCATAACCCTCTAAAGCAGTAAAGTTATCAGTAGAGCTGACTAAAGTGAAAACAAATAGCATTTTTACAGAAGAGAGAGTCACCCAAATTAGCACAACTTTTACCCTTTCTCCCCTGGCTGAGTCTTTTTATGAGAAGAAACTTGTATAATTTGATTCTTTCAAAACATAAAGTGGAATTTTTCTATTTGGTTGGCTGACTGCTTGGTTTCTTGAGGTGGCTGACTGCATTTACTGCAAGGTGGGACTGTGCTATCCAGGAAGGCAGCCGTGTGGGCTGCCCGATAGCCCAGCAGGCCAGCCAGCCACCTGGCTCTCCAATTTATGAAGCAGGAGAGCTTAGACAGTCATCTTGCAAGTAGCCTGTGTTACTCATTAGCATGGAAGCCGGCTACTTCAGTGAGCCTGGCTGCTCCTGAGAACCCTGCCTGCTCCCTGGCTTGGCCAACTTCCCTGGCCTGCCCAATAACTTGGAGAGTTTGGAAAGCATTCTTCCATATCAGCCTGCCTCAGACTTCCAAGAAACTAGGCAGCCTGGAAGCATTGGCAGCCTATGCTCTGTGGCATTCCCTTTAGCAGGCTTCTGGGAAGCTATACCTTTGCACCAATCCAGCAGGCCTGCTGCCAAACAGTTTACAAGCCTAGGTAGTTTCAGTTTCGCAGCAACCAGCCTGGCATGGGATTAGGGAGCAAAGCCTATACTGGCAGCTTGTCCTGCATGCTACTAATGAGCTGATTGGGTGAGTTGGTAGGAAAACAAATTTCAAGAGAAGTGATGATTGCCCAAAGAAAGAATGGTGCCACCAGAAAATTTCTAACCAGCTGTAGTTCTGAAATAGTAATAGTCATCCCAAAGTACTTTAGAAATCCCTGAAAACCCTAATCCTGAGAGACAAGGATCTTTGGGTAAATGTGATCCTGAGAGCACATTGGGACAGCTTGAACTTCCCCTAGTTATACTTAAGTCCCATTAATGTGTATGGAAAGAATGTTACACATGATGGGTACATACCTCCCAGTATAGCTGCATTTTCATGGCAACACCCATTCTATACACCTGAAGGCAAACACCCACTCCATGTGTGCCATTAACTATGTGCAGATACCCAAGGACAAAATCTACCCTAGCCCTGGATCTACTGAAGTCAGTAGAGTTGCACAGAGTGTAAATTGCAACAGAATTTAGCTTCACACTCTCAGATGTTTCTAGAACTCATTTATTTTAGTGGCTATCATCCACCAGCCTTTTTGTGGCGTGGCGCTAACTGTGTACATAAAGAGACTTCCTCTTGCTGGGGCTGGAGTGGGGGATGGAAAGAGATCGTTTATTTATTGAATCACAGGAACAATACAAATGGCAATTTTTCCAAATATGTGCTGTAGAAAATGTAGATTGTGTGCTCTTCATCTGCATTTATTTATACCTCCTATTTCCAGAAATGGCATCAAAAAGCAATCAACATAAAATACAGCTCAGATGAAATTCAGGAAATATTCCAAATGCTCCTTTATCTCTGCCACTGGAGCTAAGCCAGGGTATCTGCATTCATTTATTTTGCTAAAAAATGGAAACAAATACAAAAGGATAAATCAGAGTCAAAGTGAGACTATTTAAGAATTGAAGATTGTGAGTAATGATACAGGGAAAGATAGGGAATCTAAACAGGTATGTGCATTTATATGTATGTTTCCAAAAAACCTTGCCTTGAATCTGCAATCCCACTAGAACATTATGAGAGCTGCAGTCTTTATCCTGCCAAGACTGGAATTTGGCATAAAGAGTGGATATTTTCAGGATATTTTCTTTCAAGTATTATTGGCCTGGATTCCAAAATTACTTTTGAAACATGGCTGTTTACAGAGTTTCAGTAATATTTTCATTCAAAGTAGAAAATGATATCAGCATTGAAGGCACTATTTAGACAGACACCTGAATACCTGATCAGGGTTAACTATGCTCATTCTGTTCAAGCATATAGATATTCCTTAGCTACATAGCTGGATTTTTATATAGCACAAATCACACTAATAATAGTGGTTCTCAATCTTTTTAGACTCAATGCATCCCTTGGAAGATGCCAGCTCTTAGACTTTGCTCGTTGGTTTTTTTTACTATGGAAATAGCAATAGAACAAATCCACTGTTGCAAGGATCTTGTAAAGACCACAACAGATCAGAATGTTTCTGACCCTACGAATTCTTCTTTGAAAGATGTGTTTATCTTGTGAATCATGTGTAGGCATTTGCCTCAGCATCCTGGTTGAGGATCATGGACAGGAGACGAGGCCCTGATTCAACAACATCCTTGAGTAACTTTATGTGCAGGAGTAATTTCATTAAGGTCAGTGAGATATCACATGCAAAAAAAAAGTAACTCGTGTAAATATTAGCATCATCCCTGCCCAAGCTAAGGTCTGTGGCCACACTCCTACTAACATACCAGTGTGCTGGGCATACTTAGCTCATTAAGATTAATGAGAGGAACTGAGTTTGTGTGCATAAATGACAACAAAATCAGGGCCATGGGTCTTATTTGCAATAAGGATGATGACCTCAAAAATTTCAGCTCTGATTTTAGCTTACAGAAGTGCATCCAGTCTCAGGAAAGAAATGGCTTAGCACATTAAATAATCATTTAAACTCCCATTCACCTAGGTCACTGTTAGACAAGCCAGTTACAGATGACTCAAAGCGTTCCTCTTACCTGTACAGCAATTTAATGAAGTGTTTCTTGACACTTATCACAGTATCAACCCTTTCAGGGCTTAAGTGGTCTGCTGGCCCTTTGCACTTAAGGGTTGAATTGCACCCTCAGGGGGAGATAAGGTTGTTTTGTTAAATCTGTTTTGTATATACCATCTTTTACACAGTATGTCAAATATCTTTTAAGTCGTAGTTTAAAACTGAAGGCCAGATTTGTAAAAGCAAAGGGCTGCCTGAAGTAGAGAGAAAATTAATGGCATTTTCAAAAGCAGCCTAATGGATTTAGGTACCTAGGACCAGATTTTTAAAGATGCGTAGACACTTCACTCCCTTCAGAATCGATAGAAGGTCGGTGCTTACATACCTTTAAAAATCAGGCGCCTAAGACCTTTTGGAAGGAATGGGAATAAGGAGCATATCTTGCTTAGTCTGTTTTGTACTAAGCTCCAATCTGTACCTTTAGGCTCCTAAGTAAATAAAAATCTGACTGAACATCCGCTGTTGTAACACGTGAATGACTCACACCCAATGACTGTCGTAGCCCTGATCCACATAAATTAAACAAACAAGCAAATCCTGTCCTGATTTTTAACTACAATGATAAAAATTCTTATGTAGTTAACTTAAGTGTAGCCCCAGTTTAGAGATGCTTATTTTGGCAGGTGTGTGACTCATGTGCCTTTGGTGCTAAGTTAACTGCATAACAGCTTAGGGGGTCACAAAAGAGTTAATTTGCTATGCCTGGAGTAGTAATGAACTGGTACAAACCTGAAGTGCCCTTCCTTTGGTCTCTATGGGCAGAGTGAAGGCCGAGATGGCACACACAATGCACACTCCTGAGAAAAGACACAGGGCCCCAAGGAAAGATGCACTCATGAGAACCTATGAACACATAATTCAAGCACCAGTTAATGCTGCCATGCAAGATACTCATGCTATGGTTTGTTCAGAATTAAGAAACATGACTTGGGTGGAAGATTTCAAGCAACTAAAGGACTTGATGACGGCCAGACAATCTGTCCAGTGACTAACCACATCAAAAGAGTCACAAGTATGAACAAGTATGTATATTCTATACAACACTGTATACAGATCTACATCTGGCAGTCGCTTTGTTTCTAGTTCTGGGCCCACATCCTTCTTTGTGGAAAGGTGCCTTAGTGTTACTTAAAGATTTAAATGTAAACCTGTAAGAGGCACGGCACTGGAAAGGAGGATGTCCTGAGTTCTAACCCCACCTTGTCATGACTGTCTAGCCATTCTACTTCTTCCAGAGTGCAGAAGGCGTATGTATCTTAGCAGGACTGCTGACCTAAACAGATAGATGCCTACATAAGGATCCTCTTCCATCATACATTGTTGCCCAGGTGGTCTCCTTGGGGAGGGCAGTGGGGGTATGTGGACCTGCAAGTCCCCAGAGGCTCCTTTTACGTCCCCTGACTGGAGAGGATGCAGCTGCAGTGATTCTGAAGCATTCCAGACTGGGGGAAGGAGAAGAGGGAGTGATAGGGACTGTGTCTGTCCAATGGCTGAAACACTATTATGTTCTAAATGTTTCCAAGTCTGTTTACACTATCAATCTGTCTGCACCATCCGTGGAGCACAGAGGGGGCTGCTACCCTCTCAGGGAGAGAGTCATAGGCTCCTGCTCCTAAGACTTCCTGCCTTGTGACTTTGATGCCAAATACATCAGGTACACCTTGGTACCTCTGAAGTAATGCCACTATGAGCTATATGTTTTACATGAATTACACGTTGCTGCTGGGGGCAGGCTGTACTGCTGGCCAAGTGATAAAGGCCTGGAAAAGGCTGAGTACTGTACATGTGTGGGCTTTCTTTTGAAAGGAAAGCAGAGGCTTGAGGTTTGCTACTACTAATTGAGCAGGTAGCCATTTCTTTTTTAAGACACATGCATACATTTCTCCCTGTTAGGACTTCTGGGTCTCCTCTGTCTTGGCAGAGGTGCTAACTTGGAAGTGCCTTCCTCCTCTATTCTTGCTGAATAAAATTTTGACAAATTTACCCAGTAGCTGCCCAGACAGTGCATAACCGACTGCACATGCTCAGTGTGGACATTTTACTTGTCTACACAGCTTGGGAGCAGGAGTCTAAACTGTACATAAGTGCCAAAAGTGGCAGATACCCCACTGGAAAACTGCCATTTGGGCACCTAAAGTGAAGTAAATGTCTGCCTTAAATGGATAAATCTTTAGGGTGCCTATACACATGGTCTAATGCATTCAAATTAGAACGCTCTAGCATAGCTGCAGCATCATGTGTACAAAGCCACTGTGGATTTAAAAATGGCCACTGGCATGCTTTAACTAAAGGTCATCAAATGAGCTGTAGTTAAAATGTCCCATGGTCATTTTTAAATGCCCAGGGGCTTAATACACATGATGCTGCAGCATTTTAATAAGAGCAGCTCTTCAGGAACCAATCTAATTAACCCCCCACACCCCCCCAAGCACATGTATTGCCACCCTTAGGTATGTAAATGTGATTCAGGGCATGCAAAGTAGCATGTCATTGAATGGCTTAGATCAGGGATGGGCAAAATGCGGCCTGGGGGCCGGATGCTGCCTGCCAAGCCATTTTATCCGGCCTGTCATGCAGCCCTTGATGGCTTGCCAAAACTCAGTAAGCGGCCCTCTGCCCAAAATAATTGCCCGCCCCGGCTTAGATGCTTAAAGTCTGCATAAGTGATAGGTGTTTTGGCAGGGCAATAGAATGCCGTCCTTTGTGCCTTCCACTGGTCTGCATTCTGACATGTAAGTATACAGCTGACTAGGCAAAACAGGATTTGGGCTTTTTCCCCGTGTAAACATCAGACTCAAAACTAATGGTTTGGCAAAGGCTGGACAAATTTCAAAAGAGGCACTGCAAAGAGTTCCTTGTGTGTATTGGAAAGCAGACTGGGCATGGAGTATACCAACTTACAAAACACAACAATGGGCCCACTAAAAAAAAAAGTAATAGCTAAACATCTGTTTCAAAGTGCCTGAGGAACTCCAATCTATGAGCTCTTCTGACTGACAACCACCATTGCACAACAAGATGTAACAGAAAAAGCTTCTTACTTGTGCTATAAATGGTGCCACCATAGCTCCAATCCGACACAATGACCCACTTGTCCCCATCCCCAGTGCTCGCATAGTGGTGGGATAAACCTACAGCAGGAGAAAAAACATTGCATATAAGAAAATGCATGTGATTCAGCTTATTCACAAATGCTCACTACATTATAAAGGCCAGCAGTTGGAGGGAAGTCTCAAACGGTAACAAGGCCCCCCAGTTCTCATTTCTGCCTTTGAAATTCGTTCCATGAAGATTTTAGGGAGTTCTGCTGAAGTTGGAGGTGGTGAACTAATCCCTCAGCTGTAGAGGTCCAGTTTGAAGAGCATTGGCAGGGTGGCATGGGAAGAGTATGAATTACCATTCTTTCTGCCTGGTGAACAGGGAGATACAGACTGTCCGCAGATTCCAAGCCAGCACTTTGTCCAAGCTTTAAATTCACTCAAAACATTTGTAGCAGGGAAAAGCACCTGACAAAATGCCCGGGGTCTCACTGTGTAACACTCTTTTCTTTTCTCTTCTTCTAGGCTATGATCCAATAGAGCACCTAAAACACATGATTAGTTTTATGCATACAGTTAAGCAAATACCTATGTCCCATTGACTTCAATATGTTTAAAGTTAGGCAAGTATTTAAATACTTTGCTACATCAGGATTTTAGGGGAGAGGGTATTTTATTGTCCAATATAAATTTGCTTGCAGAAGGGCCAATGGGAAATTATTTCCATCACCACTAAACTATTTTTAAAGGATTCCAGATGCCTCCCTTTCAATGAGAGGAGCAAGATCTCCAGAAGTACAGTGCAGCTGTGGTGGTGGTTGCAGCCTAGCTTTTGACTGGTGCAAAATTCTCTCACATTAGTGGCTTCTGACACATCCATTTCCAGCAATAGAACGTACACCAACAACATTTGGCTCCAGATCACTGAAAGGTAAATATTTCTGCAATGCTAGTGCCTTCTGATAAGCATCACTGTGTTACACTAAATAATTAATAACAGTGAGCAGGTGCTTCTATTTGCCCTTCCTTGCAATGCTACATCAAGGGGCTTTTTGTGAAACTGAAAGGTAATTCACCGTATTTTCTTGCATATCACATGCCCACAAAAAAAAGACACACTTTATATTTGGGGAGGCAGAATGAAGGGTAAAAAAAAAGTCCAGAGTTTGGCCACATCCATTAGTGGCAGAATCTAAACTTCCTGTGACTTCCTCTTTTCCTGGTCAGGTAAAAGCTACAGTTTTAAGTGTTTCATGGCTAAACTGTTAGCAGCTCTTGAAGACTGGACTCATGTACAAATCTAAAGATAAAAACAGTCTGGGGGCTGAGAAATTAGAGGAGAGAGACCAGGAATCACTAAACTGCAAATTCTTCAGCACAGTTGCCTAAGAAAGGACAGCTTGATTAGTGGAAAATCAAAGCTGTTAAAAAGGAGAATGGGTCATTAATGCCTTCTGAGTTAAGAGTAATTGGCAGAAATCAAGTAGATTACGAGTCATGAAGTTAATTGACTCCCTCAATAATGCCTGAATAGAAATGCCATTGCTACTATTCTGGGCAGAAAATCGGCATCCCTGCTTAAGATACATGTATTAATTTTAGAAGGCTAATTTTTTGAGGAAAGATGCATGTGGTACACGAGTATAAAACAGGTTCTTAATAGGGCTGTGCGAAACGGCACCGTTCTGTTTTGCCTTGAGTTTCGACAGTTCGAAGGAACAGTGTTTTGTATCGAATTTTATTTCAAGTTGAAACAGCTGTTCCATTCCATTCCATTGAAACAGAAAGGCTGTTTCAATGCTGTTTTGATGTTTCGCTGGGGATAGGAAGTCAGCCCAGCTGAGCTGACTTCCCATCCCCAGCACTAGATCGTGCCGGGGTGGAAGGCAGCCCAGCTGGGCTGCTTTCCCATCCCCGCTAGATTGCGTCGGGGGTGGAAGGCAGCTCAGCTGGGCTGCTTTGCCATCCCTAGATCACGCCGGGGGTGGGAGGCAGCCTGGTGTGATCTAGTGCGGGGAACAGGAAAACAGCCCAGCTGGGCTGCCTAGCCACCCCCTGCCAGATCTTGCGCTGGGGATGGGAAGTCAGCCCAGCTGGATTGGCTTCCTGTCCCCAGCCTATGGTCAAAATGTTTCGACTTTCAAAACATATTCGACCAGCCTCATTTTGTTTTGAGGCTATTTCGATGGCCTTTGTTTCATTCCAATTTTGCTGTTTTGACCTTGAAATTGGTGGAAACAGTGTCGAAGTGAAACGGCTAGCAAAATTTCGCACAGCCCTAGTACTTAACCCCAATAAAAGAAACTATTTTTACACAACACAAAATAAATCTGTGAAACTCACTGGCATGAACAATCACTAAAGACAAGACATTTCCAGCACTAAAAACATTTGCAGTGAAATTCCACTGTAAAATTAAGAGAGGTAAACCTTCCTACTGTGAAGCATCAATTAACCCACTAACAAACAGACATTTCCATCCATTGGGACATTATTCAGTAACTGGTCGTTATGAGAGGGGGTGCCTCTTCCTTTGAAGAATTTGGAACAGGCTACCATGAGGGACAGGATTCTGTAGCAGATGGACTGTGCCCCTGGTCTCGTATGGCAATTCCTATTTTCTTTCTCTTGCCATCTTAGCTACTCATCCAGTTTTGTATCTGATCATATACACATTAGCAGAACAGGCAACTAAAACAGTATTCAGAGACTAGCATAAGACCAGAGACCTTCAGATATAGTAAAGTCACTGTAACTATGTGATTAAAATGAGGACAGTCACCAAACTACTCAAATGTGCCTTCATCGATTTCATACACTTTGTTGGAGAACAAATGCCAGAAGGGGACCCACCTCTGCTGTGTAAATGTAGATGGTATTGAAGTTTGCTGACACCAAAGCACGCAGCATGAAAAGAAAACCAATCAGACCAGCACTAGAAAGAAAGAAGGGTGGAGAATATTAAGCTTGGTGAATAGTTATTGCCAAAGACACTGAGATCAGACCAGAATCTTTAAACTGAAAGGGCATTTCAGAGGCACTCTCTGAAGTCCTGGTTCAGCTTTACTACGAAGGATATGGAAATCTTCCTCCATTCAACATTCATTTAGTGAATACAATCAGACCTTGTTAATTCACATAGATCAGCACCCTCCACTCCCTTTGGACTCCCCAGCTGGGTGAATAAGAAAACACACGTTACACAAGAAGGAGAAAAAACCCCCCAAAGATAGTGGCTCTCTCAATGGATTTTGTTTACTTAGCTTGATGCATAGGCTGGCTGTAATTATTTTCAGGGTCTTACAGCATGCTAGTAAATGTCCTACAGTATATTTTGTGAGACACGTAGTCTCAGTAATACAAGCTCTCATTATGGCTTTTGCTATCACATTTTTGCTGGGAAGCGAGGTGCAACTGCCAAGAGAATGATCAGAGTGGCTGATTAGCAAACAGAGAATTTAACAGGCCCTGCCATCTGACTATGGTACTGCAATCAACCATACCATTACCAGCATACAAATTGTACAGGTACCTTGTCGTGCAGACATTGAGGAGCAGGAAAAACAGAGCAGTGCATCCCATTGTTATAGACAGGCTCAGTCGTCTTCCTAGAAAATTGATGCCTACAATATTTAAGGGATTTACTGGGAAAAAGAATAAAACAAGCATGTCAGACTGGGGTTAGATTTTCTACCTGTTTTTAGACCTTATTTGTTGCTCACTATTTCCTACTTGGAATCATCCCCTGGTAATAGAAACAGAAGAAGAGTTGCCCAACACCAGGATCCTACTTTCCATTTCAGGACTTTTGTCTTTGAGCCTGCCTTCCTGTATTATACTTATGATGCCTGCTTTATGCACAGTCTAGACTCACATTGCTCTTGTACAAGAGCTGCCATGATGTCAAATTAGTGAATCAATCACAGGCTAATGCTACTGTGAGAGGGCAAGAAAAGATGGTGTTTTGGTTAGAGGCAGTGTGCTAGAACTCAAGGAATCTGGAGGTCCACTCCCAGAACCAGCAAAGATTGCTTATGTGACCTGGGACAAGTCATCAAGGGCTCAAAGCCCTCAAAATGTTAAGAATCAAGCACTTTGACCCGTTCAAGCAAAACATTTCAGAACAAGGTATACACCAAAATCCCAAAATGTATGCAAAAGAGCCCTCCAGGCATTGGCTCTTGAGTGAATAGAGGTATCTGACGTGCAGCCCCAGAACAGACACCTATGCATGTCTCATGTTTCCAGTAGCTAACTCAAGACAACTCCTCCCAACTCCCCCACCACACAGTATCTGAGCTCCCTGAACCACCAAGAGAAGTAAGTGATGAGGCTGGGGTCCTGTTCCCACAGAGTTTCCCTTCCCTGCACCACATAGGAGAAAGGAGCAGGGTCAAAGTACAGTGAGGGGCAGACTGATACAGATGGAGGATTAGTCTGGGACATGCATAGGAAAGGACAGCAGTGGGCATGCTTCTCCTCTGCTTTCTGTGAAAACTATGTGGAGACAGCAGGCTCTGGACCCAGCATGTGCTAGAGCAGGGGCAGGCAATTATTTCAGGCTGAGGGCCGCTTACTGAGTTTTGACAAGCCATTGAGGGCCGCATGACAGGCAGCCAGGAGCAGATAAATATTGATTTTCTAAATTTTTTAGGGACCCCGTGGGCTGGATCGAATGGCCTGGCAGGCCCCTGTGCTAAAGCAACCTGACATGTGGAGGTGGGAGCTGCTACACATACTTGTCTTCCTTGTTTTTTCTCATCTGGACTTGCATTTCCAGACTGACCTCCAGGATGGGAGTACTGCATCATTACCAGCATCTAATTTCAATTTCCTGACATTCTCCAGTGTATGAGATGTACCTTCCTTTTCCACCTTCTCTGGGAAAGGAGGAGGGTAATATGTGTTTCATAATCTAGAACAGTGGTTCCCAGCCTTTTCTTGCTATGACCCTAAATCAGGACACCCCAACCCAGAGCCAACCCTAGGGGGTGTGGGGACTGGGGCAAATCAGCCTGTGCGGGACCCCCTTAACTTTGCATGACCCTGCAGCCAGAATTTCTGACTGGAAGAAATGTAAAGAAACCTTCATGCCACGGAGAAGGAGGGTGGGCCAAACCACAGCTGCCCTGAGGGAGAGGCCGCGGCCGCTCCGCCTGGCTCTGCGGGGCCAACGCAACCCTACTGTGGACTCCCCATGACCCTAATTTGGGTCATGCCGCAAGGTTGGGAACCACTGATCTAGGACATACACTTAGCTGGAGGTGCCTCAAGAGTCTCTCCAGATCTCACCCTGAGTGGTTTTTTTGGACTGAAGTCAGAATAATGACTCCTTGAAGGAACAAAGTGCTGAGTCCCACAGAAGTGATGCACAGGCCTTGCCCTAACTAGCAATGCAGGATGAATTGCATGCAGATCATACTGATGATTTATGCTTGTTCATGTCAATCTAATGACTTAAACATTTTGCACAGTGTATTAAAGCTACAGAAAGAAAAGATAATAGACTTTCTGTTACATGCAATCTCTCCAATTGTGCTGATGATCATGGTCTGGTAATCTGAAGGGGCAAATAAGCGACAGTGACACGGGCTTTGGCTTTCCTGCGAATGATCTCCAAATTCTTCCGTTACTGATGCCTGAGAGCCACAAATCAGGTCCCGCTCCAGTAACTCAGCACTGGCCAGGATGACTCCATAATAAGCAAAAGCTATTCCCAGCCTGTGGGGGAAAAAGAAAAATAAAGCCAATGCAAAGGACAGAATAACAGCAGGTTCATGAAATTCTAGATGAATAAAGCTCAGCAGGTATAAACACCTCATGGAAATTACCATGCAAAACATTTAAGTAAGCATTAAGATTTAGCAATCTGAATCCCAGCACTGATTTGTGTAACCAGTAGTACAGTGGCTGTCACTGCAGGGTTCAAATATGGGAGGCTCGGTGGGGTGCTGACCTCTCCATAAGAAATGAGAGCCCCACCATAAGAGATAAGAGCCCCCCAAAAGCCCCTCCATAAGAGACGAGAGCCCTGGCCCACCCCATGCCTTTCTAAACAGCTCAGGTGGCAGCGGCTCCTTCCAGCTTTCGGCTGCCACTGCTGCAAACCTCCCCCCCACCCCCAGGAGTCCGAGTGTAATTCAAACCCTGTGTCATTGCATGTTACACAATTGCACCTACAACATTCAGGGGCAGATCCAGGCAGCTGGTGGGGGGGGGGGCAACTGCAACCCCCTCCCCCCCCACACACACACACACACTTTGGCAGTGTGACTCACATGGGGGACCTCTCATCAGCTGGGTCATCAGGACACCTACTGCTGGAGCCCATGTTGCCACTGTTCTACAACCCTGGGGGGTGAATGATGTCGCGGTTCGTCTCCTCCATTTCCCCTGTCACTGAATTCAGGAGTGGGCAAGGGGCAAGTGGTGGCCCAGTTCTCTGGTTTCCAGAGCCATGGCAACATGAGCTCTGGCAGCCATGCTGATGAGCCCCTGAGCACGGAGAGCTTGCTGTGCAAGTGTGGGGTGACTACAGCTCCCCTCTCCTGCACCTCCCACTGGATCTGCTCATGACTCTTTGCATGTCATTCAGTGACGGACATTTCTTAACTGCACTGGTCTTTTTACTACTACTATTAGTAGTACTGAGGTACTGCCTCAGAGCACTCGGACCTAACCTCTTGGGTCTGGTCCCCAGTTCCCAATCTGAAGAGTTTGCACTCTATAAGTAACCGTGATCTTCATGTTTCTCAAGTTTCCTATCTGTAAAATGGGCAGAAACCTCTCTCCCAGGGATGGAATTCATTTTAGTGCAGGAAAAGCTCAGCTAAGGCTTGTGCACCACCTACACTGGTTTGAGGGCTTAGGTAGGATGGCTTCAGTGGGCCAGCTTATGCACTACTTGTTCTGGCCCTCTGTATAGGGGTGAGCTTTGCCCATTGCATATGAGCTTCTTTCATGGTTGGCCCAGAGAATAATGTGATACTCAAGCGAGCACAGCAGCACTGGGCCATGTAACATCCTTTGATGCAAGCTTCTACATATGTCTTGCAGTTTGCAAGTGTTTGTTTAAAATGCAAAATCAAGAGCCCAATTCCTTGGGGGCCATTAAAGATCTTGTGGCACTTCTTCTGTGACTAGGATGGTTAACCCCAATGGCCTTGCCAAACGCCAGTCTGTGAAATTGCATTCAGCTCAGCACCATTCCCCGTGCAACTGCAATTGAAGAAAATTTCTCCCCACTCCTACCCCATCTTCTTTTAAACTGTGGGATATATTGCTGTACACCAGTAAATAGAGGCTGTGTTCTATACCAGAGGTGGCTGGAAATCATCACAAGCACTCTTTTACCCACATTATAACATTTGCAAACTGTTTGAGACCTACATTATAATATATGGATTAGGACAGCAGCTGCCAAAAGTATACACCAGTATATGTTTTTGCTGAAACATTTTTTAAACATTCATTTCTCTGCTGGGGGGGGGGGGGGGGGGGGGGGGGTGGGATCCGATAGGGGAGCAACAAACAGTGAATATTTTAAACCAAACCAAACCCTGGAGCTGTTACTGGCAATGTGTAGGAACATCAGTGCCTCATTCACCATTCTGTGTGGTGACTCTTAAAATCAAATTTTAACACTGCCAAGGGAAGCTCATGTAGCATCCTGGCTCTCTGTCAAAATCACGGCATTAATGATGGCAGCCTCATCGCAACATTACCAAGTAATTCAGCTTGCTCCTAATCATAAACAGGCTAAGGAGTTATATATTTCTTTTCCCTGGCAGTTGAAGAAGCATGTTTCAGAATTTAAAACTATTCAACAAGCTGTATGCTGAATGCAGAGAGAATACTAAGAACACAGATGATGTGAAGGTTCCTTAGCACGTAGCACAATTTATATACATGGCAAGCAGGAAGGAAAAGGAAAAAAAACATATTTCACAAAAATTATGAAAAAATCCAAGGATTGACAAAGCAAGATTCTGGACATGGAGCTCCCCCCACACATACTGTCAGCGTGTTACAATTCTAGAGAGTGGTGCCTTAAAATATATATTTATGTGTATGAGGGCTACTTATGAGACTTCATATCAAATTCATTTTCTGTTCATTTTAATTTTCCCAAGACAATGAAGTTGGCTAATACCTACATAGCTAATATATGACTAATTACATTCTGTTTGAAACCTATTTCACTGGTTCTTTGTCCGTGCTACAGAGGCAGCTGGTACAGCACTGTGAAAACCAAGTGTATAAAAGCAAGAGTAAAACCAATTCAGACTCCTCCTATTCCAGCTACATTGAATATCACCTCAAGTCTCTTAGAGCCTCATCCACCTCTCACTAGAGTCAACAGGCAGCTTTTAACAAGGGCTGTGTAGATGCTGAAATGAAAGAATTAACCAGTAAGAAATAAAACATGTTTACCAGATGATCCATATTTGCAAGGTGGTTCGCAAGTATTTGGGGTGCATCAGGTCTTTGAATCTACCTCTTCTTTCCTGTAAATTATTTAAGAAGCAGCAAAAGGTTAGAAAAAGGTGTTCCACAGATGGATTGATCTTCTGATGCGACAATATGGCTGCCTATAGACATGCTGGTTCATGTTGTAATTAGAACACATCAGAGCAGACTCAATTAATCAGGTCCCACAGCCATTTTTTAACATGTGGAGGCTTAATACACATGAGGATAAGGTGTTTTAATCAGATCAGCTTGCTGGTAACTGCTTTAATTAAAATGACCCTCCTCGAGCACGTGTATAGGCAGCCTATATGTCTACACCCTAAAACACTCTAGATCAGGCGTTGACAACCTACAGCTCATGGGCGAGATTCAGCCTGCAGAGCCATTTGAACCAGCCCACAGATGTGAGGCTTTATCAGCATTTGACAACTGGGGGTTTTCAGCAGCTGTTGTTTTCTTCAACTGGACAGGGAAAAGCACCAGCTGCAGGTGCTTTCTCTGTGCCATCCCGGGGAAAAGTGGCAGTGGCTGGGTCCTGGGTCAGGATCACCTGATTAGAACTGGGTTACTCCAGCCCACAGCCCAAAAAGGTTGCCAACTGCTGTTCTAGACAATCCTAGAGGCCCTTCCCACCCTGTGGCTGCATCTACACAAGACACTGGCTGTGTAGTAGCTCATTACTATTGTACAGTAGCATTGCATGGCACAAAGCGTGATGCGACGCTACTGCGCAGTAGTAACAAGCTACTGTGCAGTCAGCATCACCAAAAAGCCGTTGGGGATGCTACTGCGCAGTAATGCTGATTACTGTGCAGTCATTTAGTACTTGTGTGTAAAAGTACTAAATGATTGAGCAGTAACAACTGCACAGTCAGCATCTTGTGTAGATGTGGCCTGTTGTTATGATTTTATCAGGTTTGCAGAAGCATAAGGTAGACACATAAACACACTCCCACACCACAAGGACCACAGAAACTGAAGAGAAGAACATGGAGAGGATCTGTATTTAAGTTTTTGTGGGGAGGGTGGGGAATAAGGCCACCATCCTGTGCAGCCCTGGTGCCTTGAACAGGTGTCCCACATGCACAGGGCTCTGCTCTCATAGAAATACTGGATGAATCACAGGCTATTTTAGAAGATGTTAGGTGAATACTCATTTGTTTCTACTTGGTCTAATGCTGTCTTAATTGACACTTGCATTGTTCCCTTTTGCATAACAAGATATAAAATGACATTAAAAGACACAGAGTCATAAGTCTGAAGCTGGACATTTGCTTTTGGATTATGGTACCTACCAGGTGTCAAAATCTGAGCTAACAGCTATACAAGGGAAGATTAACAATAACAGCTATGGGATTGGTTTGTCTAGGGTGAGATTCTTGCTGTCCCAAAATTGACAAGAGGCAGTTAATCCTCAAAGAATCCACAGGGAGATGAGTTCACATGGATATTTCAAGTTAATTTTCTTTCTTTGTTTAACATGGATTTGTGCATAACTTTAACAAAAGCCGTCACAAAGCCAGTAAGATTTTATTACAGAAATTCAACTAAGCTCACAAGGAAGGCTTCTCTGGTTAAATCTAATTGTTTGCCTCTACAACAGTACTACTTCACATGAAATGCCAAGGACAACAATAAGGCTAGGCACAAACATTACACAAACCAGTTTAAGTGATCAGAAACTGGTCGCAACCTGTAACAGAACAGAAGTTCAGCGCACATAAACCAGTTTCAAAATGGCAAAAACCAGTTGAAGATAAACCTAGTTGAATGTAGTAGCAGACTTAACTGATTGAGCTCAAACCGATTTATGCAACTTCTGTCCCAGATCTAAGTGCCTATAGGGCTTGATAAAGAGCAGACATGCCTACAAGAGACCTCAATGAAGTGGGTGATGATTTTTGAGGATGGGCTTTGGCCACTTGGATTTGTGTCTTCCTCAACCAGACCACTATGGCAGCTCTGCTTCTGACAAGTAGGTCTGGATTGATTGTAATCAGTAAAGAGCAGGCTTCCATGTGCTCCACTCCCTCTAGTTGCTGGTTGTGACTTACACGTAGTTGTTGTGCTGGAACTGAACTGACTTCCCTCATTTCCAATGAGTTTATGAGTACTTTTCACTCTTGGTCTGCCTATGTTGCCCTGAACCATTTGGTCATTCATATAAGCCCCGCACAATGTGCAAAGCCATGCTAAGCTCAGTCTAACCCTGACATTGGATTGTCTTATTTGAACCTCCCGGTGCAAATCTGTCAGTTCACTGACCAGAGGAATAGGTGCCAGGTATCCAACTTACAAGTGAGAGCTGAGGCTGCAAGGGGAGTAGGACATTTTTCAGCTCCCCATGGAGAACTATGTCCTCTAGAATTGCTGCTACCATGCCCTGTGGCTGCACGGGGAACCTCACTAATACCAGAGGTGATGCTGATAATCACTGATTCAGGACAACAATCTACAGTTTCCTCAGATCCAAGGTAAAGCCCAATCTTTGGAAATGTCCAGAATTATTTCCTGGAGCCGTGGTCTCTCCCTGAGATGAGATACTGATTCCCCAAGTACTTCCCCACATGCAGGGGTGTGCGCTTGCAGCAGGGAAAAAAATAGTGGCACAAACTTGTGCCACTACTTTTTGCCGCTGTACACACCCCTGCACATGCAGTTTGGTGTGGGGCAAATTGCCCTGCTTTGGGGAAACTCCTGTTTCCCCACTCCTCCCAGCTCCCATCATGCTGGAGGAGCTGGGGGACACCTAAAGGAAGGGAGACACTCTGGCCAGCAGCCAAAGCATCTCCCTGAAGGGCCAAGCCTCCATGTCTGCTGGTGCATATCCTGGAGCATGTGCCATGCTGCTTTTTTGGCACAGTTTTTTTTATACCTGGAGCTGCTGGTATTACATTTTGATGCCGTGCTGCAAATTGCACGTGCCCGTTTGCAGTTTAAGGTGCCGCAAACCGCAGGTGAGCACTTGTCTGGATGCACCCCCTGCGTTCTCTTAAACACTACATTCTTGCATGAAGGTATTGGTTATTTCTGTACCCTAGAAAGTCCCTTTGAGGAAAACGGCCTCTTAACAAACCACTCTTCAAGGAGAGGGTAGGTGTGAGATCCCTGCCTTCAGATCTGTCAGCCTGTAGGAAAAGTCTTGGGGATGTCAATGGGTAAACTCAAGAGTGCTCTCCTGAATGCTTTTTTTTTTCATGGACACAATAGCAAACTGCTTCCCAACACTGTTAATTTGAATGAAGAAGGTGATTGTAAAAAATAAGTCCTTTCAAGTAAAGTAGTTTAGATTATCACCTCCAACAGAAACACTGTCTTCTGCCTCATACCATTCAATACTCCACTGGAATGAAACCCAACACAGCAGAAAAGCTCAGAATAAAAGCAGAAGTTTAGCAATCTAGCCCCATCCCCTAAAATCCTGATAATTCTATCTCCTTGGCCCCATCCAACCAACAACATCATAGAAGATGTTTTATCTCTTACATTAACAGACTCCACCAAGATCCCTTCGGGCATTACTGAGCGGTTAATCCTGGCAATCCGCTCTAATGTTTCAATGGCCGCTTTGTTATTTCCAATGGATACGTTGAACCGGGCAGATTCTGGAATGAACTGCAAATACAGGCTGGTTAGGAAGAGGTTTTATATGTTTCATATCTTGAACCTATGGGAAGTAGAATTGAGCCCACTACGGACTGGATTTTCCTTTTTCTTTTTCTTTTCTTTCAGCTATCTACAGCACTGGTTCTCAAACTTTTTGAACTCGGGGCACCCCTCACTGGACTTGAGGCGCCCCTCTATAACTTGAATTACGTGTCACTCCATTTCAAAAACTAATGTATATATTACAGTTCTTACCTCTCTGAATAGGGGCTGGGCAGTAGGGGTGGGACATCATCCAGGTACCCTGGCTTTTCGGTTTGTCTCATTATACTTCACTTATCTCCTCACACCTTGTTGCTGGGGTTTTGGTTGTAGCCATGTTGGCCTAAGGACATAGGCAGGCAAGGTTCTTTGGGTAGATGTGGTATCTTTTATTAGACCAACTGAGAAGTTGGAAAAAAGTTCTTTGCAAGCTTTCAGGTGCAATCAGAGACTCTCTATGCCTGTAGAAGGATGACTGTGCTTGAAACCTTGCAAAGAACTTTTTTCCAACTACTCAGTTGGTCTGATAAAAGACATCACCTCTACCCAAACAACCTAGCCTGCCTCACACCTTGTGGCACCCTTCAAAGGCTCTAGCAGCACCCCAAATAGCCCGCCACCCTGGTTGAGGTCAATACTGAGCTACCAGGTTCAGTTTTCCACTCTACTGAGAATGTACATCAAGCTAGATACTAAGTGGTTATAAATACATGTAGCAAAGTCAAGCGTTTTTATTTGTGTTATCTTTTATTGAACCAACCATACAGTTGGCAGAGGAAGTTGACAAGTTTTTGGATATAAAGCATCCTTCTCCTACAGCAACAGTACAGTAGGATACTATAATAGGTGTAGCATCATTCAGGGAAGCAATACTGATCTACTCAAACTGAGAACTTGGCCCAGTACATTAATAGGGCCATGTAAGGACTTTGGATAGAAATAATCCCTTGCACATCTGCAAAGTGTTCTCACAGAATGGAGAGAGAAAACAAGCACCATTACACAGCAATTCTAGGACATTCAATAAACAAAAATAAAAGACATGTTTTAAAACCAGACAAAATACTTATGTAATAGTATTAATGAAACATGTAACTTGATTCAAACATTTTAAGATGGGAAGTAAGACCTTTTTGTGTTATCTTTTATTGGGTCAACTGTATAGTGGGGAGAGATTTTGCACAAGCTTGTGCATATGAAGTGCTTTTCTCCAGATCTGAAAAAGAGGCAGATACAGAGGAAATGGTCTGTTTTTAACTCCGTGTAACTATGGAACACAAATCTTTGTTGTTGTTGTTAAGTTCAGCCTGTATCTGCATCTTTCTCATATTTGAAGATGGGTACTTAGTGCCCAAAAGCTTGTCCAACATCTCTTCCAACTATTCAACTGGTCCAATAAAAGATATGACAAAACACCCTTACCTTTTGTACATTTCCTGAACCATCATAGCTATAACAATACTTCGACCTCATTACATTTTTAATATGGGACTATTAACAAAAAATTCTCAAGCTTCAAATAGATTCTGCATTAAAATCATGGAACAGGCAAAACTAGGAGGCATTGGTTTCACCACAATGGTTCAGTCACCCCTCAAATGCATCACAAAATAGGCATATTATTGGAATAAAGAGCAGAATCGGGCGGACATTCAAAAACATTTGTTTGAACTTTTTAAAGAATTTCATTCACTGTGCTTCTGCCTCTTTTATGGTATTACCACTAAAAAAAAATCATGGTGTCTAGCTTGAATTACACAATTTTCAGTTAAATTCCAAAGACCCATGGTATTTACAGAAATTATCATTTATATTTGAATGCATACGTAGTCATCTCAGATGTACATGTATACTCATTTGATCAGAAACCTGAATTTTAACTTCCTTCTTATTTATTTGACTAATCAAAGAGCATTAGTAATGGTATAAATACTCCTCAAATAATGGTATAAATACAGAACTGTTCACAGACAGCCGTGGACATCAAATGTTCCCCTGATCTAGACATATCATTTTATATAGTTAAATAATGAATACCAGGCAACTTCAATCTGGCAAAAAGCTGATTTTGTTTGGTATAGGCAGACAAGGTTCCTTGGGTGAATTTGATATCTTTTATTAGACCAACCCAAATGGTTGGAGAATAGTTACTAAGCAAGCTTTCGGGTTCAAAAACCCTTCGTCAGGCTCAGGAAGCTGCAGCAGTTGGTGTGTGCTCTTCCTGGATGGAATGAAAAGTAAAGAAGCCAGGGGCTGGGCTGGGCTGGGGAGTCAGTTGCCAGGCAGATTATAATGTATCAAAAATCCAATGTCTGTGTTTAGTCCCTGATCTCTACTATCCAGCAGGTTGATGAAATGGAGCTCATAGGCTCGTCTCTGGGATGTGTTGTGTAAATTTCCCTTGAGGATCAGGACTGAGAGATTGGAGAGAGTGTGGCCCTCCTGTGAGAAATGTGCCCCCACCGGTAATTGGGTGTTTCTGTCTTTGATGGATTTCCGGTGTGCGTTCATTCTGGTGCGCAGTTGTTGTCTGGTCTCTCCTACATATCTTCCATCAGGGCATTTGGTGCATTGGATGAGGTATACTACATTCCTGGAGGTGCAGCTGTAAGATCCTGGGATGCTGATGGCTCTGTTGTGGGGTGTAGTAATAGTGGGGGTGGTGGAGATGTGGGGGCAGGTTTTGCATTTCTTGTCATGGCACGGTCTGGATCCTTTTGGTGTGTTCTGGGGTTGAGGAAGTTTGCTTCTGGTGATGAGGTTGGCGAGGTTCGGTGCTTGTCTGAAGGCTAGGATGGGTGGCTCTGGGAAGATCTTTTTAAGAATAGGGTCTTTTTCTAATATGGGTTGCAATTTTTTGAGGATTTTCCGTACAGGTTCAAGGGATGGGTGATAGGTCATAACCAGCGGTGTGCGATTTGTGGGTGTTTTTCTTCTGTACTGCAGCAGTTCTTCACGTGGTATCCAGGTGGCTCTTTCAAACGTGCGATCTACCTCTCTGGAGGAGTGTCCTTGCTGGGTGAAAGCCTTTTTAAGATTGGTGAGGTGGCAATCCCGGGTGTTCTCTTCAGTACAGATGCGGTGGTATCTGAGGGCTTGGCTGTATATCACTGCTTTTTTGGTGTGTTTCGGGTGATTGCTGGTTCTGTGCAGATATGTATGTTGGTCTGTGGGTTTCTTGTATACTGTGGTCTGTATTTTACCCTTCTGGATACTGATCCTTGTGTCTAAAAAGGGGATGTTGGTGTTGGAGTATTCTAAAGAAAGTCGGATGGAGGGATGGTGACTGTTGAATTTCTGGTGGAACTCAAGTAGAGATTCCAGGTTCTCACTCCAAATGATGAAGATGTCATCGATATATCGTAAGTACAGCAAGGGTTTGATGGTGCAGTTCTTGAGGAAGTCTTCTTCCAGGTGGCTCATAAAAAGGTTGGCATACTGTGGGGCCATTTTAGTGCCCATAGCTGTTCCCATCATCTGGAGGAAGTGTTGATTATTAAAAGTGAAATTGTTGTGTGTGAGGATGAAGTGTATAAGCTCAGTGATATCTTTGGGTCTGTATTCTGGGTTGTAATCTTGTTCCTGTAGATATGTAAGGCAGGCATGGATGCCATCCTGGTGTGGGATGTTGGTGTATAGGCTGGTAACGTCCATGGTGGCTAGGAGTGTGTTCCTGGGAAGGTGGTCTATGTTTTTAAGTTTCCGTAGCAAGTCTGTGGTGTCTTGGACAAAACTTGCTCTGTGGGTGACAAGCGGTTTTAGGATGGATTCAACAAAACCTGATATTTCCTCAGTTAGGGTCCCATGGTTGGATATGATAGGTCTGCCAGGGTTCCCTTGTTTGTGGATTTTAGGGAGCATGTAAAAAGTCCCTGGGTTAGGTAGCGGGGGGATCAAGGTCTGTAGTTTTTCTTGTAATCTTGGTGGAAATGATTTGATGGTATTGTTGAGTTTTTTGGTGAAAAGGGGAGTAGGATCTTCTTGTAGTTCTTTGTAGTAGGTGGTGTCAGAGAGCTGTCTGTTGGCTTCCTTTATGTAATCCTCACGGTTTAGGATGACTATGGCTCCTCCTTTATCTGCTGGTTTTATTACTATTTGGTGGTTAGATCTTAGAGATTCTATGGCCTTTTTCTCTGGTAGAGAGAGGTTGTTATGAGTCAGAGGTCAGAGTATGTAGTGTTTCTTTCAATGTCCTTCAGGGATCTGAATATGTCTGAATGGATCTGGCATACTGTATAGCTTGGCAGTACTGGTAGAAATTTAAGTTTGCAAAGGGTCTGTGCTAAAATATACAGTATGCAGTTTTTATGCCAGTGATGATTATAATATGCATAGTCCTTATTTTCACGTTAGTCATCATTGTGCCTGATCATACTATAATGCATTACTCATATTGAAATAAATACAATAAATGCCCTAAAATTGCCATTTAGCAAATAATTGTGGAGTCAGTGTTCTGAAAGGCATAAGGTTGAAAATCATTTCCACTCTAAGCATTTGTTTTTATAAATGTCTTCTACTTTTCTCTTTTTGGCCTGCAAAATCCAATATATTTTCTCTCAAAGTGACTGGAGGAAGGGGCTGTTAAAGCAAATCATCCAAACACCTTCTGAGCATCAATACTCACATTTTCCCTTTTTCTCTCCTCTGCTTCTTTCAGCCTGCAGCTTCCAAATCCCTTTGACTTTTGTTTAACTTGTATAAATGTGTGTGTTGCACTGTGAAATAGTTTTAATGTAGCTAGTGTAAGTTTGCTTAATGGACATTCTGGAGAGCCTGACGAAGGGTTTTTGAACCCGAAAGCTTGCTTAACAACTATTCTCCAACCATTTGGGTTGGTCTAATAAAAGATATCAAATTCACCCAAGGAACCTTGTCTGCCTATATCCTTAGACCAACATGGCTACAACCTAAACCCCTGCAACATTTTGTTTGGTATGCTTTTTCTTGTGAATTATTCCTCGGAAGAGAAAGATGTGAACAAGGCTCACAGCAATGGATTTTTAGTTTTCCTAGGGTCTGAACTGCAGAAAGATCTTAATTCCTGTGGATCCCTGAAAGATTCCACCCACTCTATTCTCATGTATGTGTATATATGCCCTCCCTAATTCTCATCATAAATGGTAGAAGACATTATATGAATCCAAGGGACTGGCATGTTTTGATCGTGGGATGCTGCTGTGGGGCAGAATGATGCCAGACAAGCAGCCAAGCTGCAAGAAGATGATTCCTTGAGGGGGCAATACCTTCCTGGTGACAAATCTAGCACTTTACAAAGGACCTGGGTCTTTTCAAGTCTATCCCCATGCAAGGATTTTTTGGGTTCTGGTGGAGAGAGGGGCAATGGTGGGGTCAAGCTAACAGGACCTAATGTTGGCTTAGTGTACTTAGAGATTCTGGACCTATTGTGTCCTTTTGGGTGAACGGCAGAAGGGTTTTTCCTTACCTTAAACACAAGGATAAGAATGACACCAGGAATAGAGGCAATTCGGATCAGCCAGCGCCAGCCTATGGTTGGGTTAACCACTGATGCCAATCCAATAATTAATAGGGAACCTGCCAACCAGAACACCTTTCAAAGAGAAAGCCATAGGTTAGGAGAAAGGAAGTAATTAGGGTGGCAGGTCTGTTTCAACCTTCTGTGCTCTCTTTCAGTCTGAGCAGCCTTCTCCCACTATAGATTCATATTCTGGGAGAGATATGGCTCAAACTCCACCAGCATGTGCACTGCCAACACAGTTGAATTTTAGGGGAGAGCTGAGACAAAGGCTCAGGATAGTTTCATTCCAATCTGCATGAATATAGATAACCAGGGGTGGTTATTATTGCAAAATAAAGTCCCTTGATGCTGCGATTCATGAGCCTTTTTACTAGCTCACTCTCAAACATTAATATAAACAAACTTTTTCTCGTACGAATGTCTATAGCAGTAGATAATTCAGTCATGAACACCTGTGCAAATAATTGGCCAGATTTCCACTGCTGTACATTGGTCTGGCTCCATCAAAATCAATGCCAATTTACATCAAGGAAGAATCTGGCTCTATATTTGGAAGCCTATTCATCCAAGATCTAAGTAATGGCAAACAGCAAGCCAAGTTGTGAAGACTGTACTCTGTTATTGGGTAATCTGCAAGCAAAAGTAAAGAATAGCTCTTATTTAGAAATCTTAGGTAATCCAAAAATGACAAATGAGAAACAATGATCAATCCTGTGGGTCAAGTAGAGAATCACATGATAATCAAACACTCATTGGCACCAAACCCATGGGCAAGGCAGAGGTCAACATTTATCTCTGTAAACTATTGGTAGAAAAATCAGAGAAATGCATAAGCAGCAAGAATGCTTTACAGGAAAGGCCTTAAACCCATTGAATAAAACATTCACAAATAATTCAAGGAGCTCTAGTCTTATTCTGCTCCTGTTAAGCAGTAACAATTATTCCAATCCTAACCTGCAAGTATTAAACTGCACACTCCTGACTCTCAGTTCTTTGAGAATTTCCCTGTTTAAGCCCCTTTTGAACATGTTTTGATGTGTACATTAAGGCTGTGCGAAGCTTCGGGTGGTGATTCGATTCAGAGGAGATTCGGCCCAATTTGGTGGCTGAATCTCCAAATCCAAATTGAATCAGGGGACCAATTAAAAGATCTGATTCGATTCAAAGCTTTCCAAATCTTTGGAAGAATCACCACTCCTGCAGTGGCCTCGGGGTTTCGAGGGCTTGTGCAAAGCCCCCCACGTGGTGCAGAGGGATCACCCCCCGCCACCAGGAGCGGTGAGTCCTAGGGATTTTTGGGGTTTTGTTTATTTCTTAAAGGGCTGGAGCTGGCCCATGCAAGGCATCTGTTTGGGGAGGGCTGGGGGAGCACGGGGGCATCAGGAGGCTTGTGCAGAGCTCCTCATGCAGCATGGGGCAGTGGGGGGCAGCAGGGATTGCCCCCTGCCCAGCAGCACCCACTGAGCTGGAGCTTTTTTTTTTCCAAGTGCTGGGAGCTGGGGCAACCATTGCTGGGCTGGGAGAGGGGTGGGGGATGGGCCTGGCCTGGCTGATTCGGCCAAATCAAATTGAGACAGTGATTTGAATCACCAAATTAAATCGCTGTCCCCCGAACTGGCTGAATCTGAATCCGAAGCAAATACTAGCCACTTTGCACAGGCCTGGTGTACATATACAACTAGTATGAGACCACATCATTCATAACTTCTTATAATCTGAGATGTGTTTTGAATTCTGGTTTACAAATATATAAAAAGCTGGAGCGTAAAATTAAACCACATTGGACCAGCCCCCAGTTTAGTGCTGATAGTTCCAAACTGGGAGTCCAGTCTCCCTAGGTGAAGCGTGACATTAAACTTATTCTTTCTGCAATTCTTAGCTGCCATGCATATAGTTTTATCAAGGAAACTGATTCAGCTGTTGGCCCTCACTCCTGACTGACAGCCTGTCAATGTCAGTCTTCCTGAAGTGGGCAACACATGTATAAACATTGTAAGCAAAAGGTTGGATGTCAGCTATCAATCAATGTCTCAGTGCAATGTATGGAGCATCCAATTGTTAGAAAAGAAATTGCTTCTCTTCTGCACACACATATACACCCACACCCAAATATATGTGTTTAATAATTCAGAATAAACACTATGTGCAATACATATTCAGATATTCTGGAACTCATTAAAGTAGGCTGAGATTTTAGTTCCAGAATTTTTGGACACACAAAATCTCCTGGGATTCTGGTCTAGGAGATTTAGTAACATACCTAATCTTACCTGAGATAAGGGCAACATATATCCTCTGTATTTTGTAGGCAAAAATTCAGTTTTTATGATAAGCCTGAAACATAGACACACACACACACACACACACACACACAAAGAGAATGACAATCTATATACAAATAAGGTGCCAGCTCAATCAATTTTAGATTTCATTGTCAATAAACATGTAACAGTGAAGTTCCTCAATTTGCTCTCAATTTACATTTCAGTGGAAATTGTGTATATTACTAAACCAATTATTCATTATTTAAACCATAGAGCAAAGTTTGTTTTTTACATTTGAGTAGCCTTTCAATAGCCATTAGCCATTTATATATGTCCTTAATAAAACATACACTTACTAACTATTTGAGTTGGTCTAAGAAGGATATCAGATTTACCAAAGAACCTTGTCTGTACACTTACTAATGCACTCATTAATATGTAATGTAAAGTATTGGTCCCATTCTTTTCTAGATTGCATAATTTTGGGGGGAATTGCTATATAAACCTCCAGTCAGATTGGCAAGGTTCAGTGAAATTGTGAAGTATTACCTTCAAGACAACATGGGAATTTTCCTTTAATTCCTGCTCATTCCTCCCCCACTTAAGAGGCCTCTTGCTGACTGTCTCTCTGTTGAGTTCCCTTTCCTCCACCTTGACAGTATATAGGGATCAGTATGTGGGAAGCCAAGTGTAATGCTATGGGATATATTATAATATTTTCTCACATAATATAACATGTCCCTTCCTCTTCCTTCCTCTTCCCCCTCCCACCCCCCCAAATCTTCTTTTTTGGAAGGCAGAATGTAGAAAAAAATGTTTTTTTTCAAAGTCATGGCCAACTGCGTGACAAATGGGAACATAGAGTGTCCAGGAAGTGTGGCACTCGGAAGTTCCTGGTGCCAGCTGCTTCATTCAGATTGCCTCTTGGCTTGCCACACTTCCTGGATACTCTATGTTTCTAGTTGGCTTACTCTGTATCACATAAAGTTAGGCCCTAGACACATTCAAGGGCAGTAGCAAAATGTTTAGTTCTATACTATAAGTACTTCTCTATATAAGTTCCTATAAATAAAGTGTTGTTTCCACATCACTAGCCTCATCAAGATACTATTGCAGCTCACTTGATGCCTCAGTCCAAGCTACGATGCTCAGCCAATAGCTACGGCATGTAGTGTCTCCAGGCAGGCTTCTTTTCCAACCCCACCCCTACCCCTCCCACCCTGAGCTTCCCCGCTTAAGACGTGCACTCTAATGTTGAAGGGCTACTTTGGAGAAAAAGATGTGTGTTATATCTGAGAAAAGATGGTAATCTGGACTTAAGTCTAGAAGAGCTAATGGCTCCTCAGGCCTATGAAATTTTAGCCTGAACCAGTCACAGGCTACCATGGCCTGACCTCTTACCCTATAGAACAGTATACAGGTTTCCCTTGCCAACCACGGTTTTGAGTATCCATGCTTAATACTCTATATGCCATTTTGGCTACCACGGTATACAGTTTTGAGTAACATGGTTTTCTGTGGTTGCACATCAGCCTGCCACCTGCTGTTTTTCCCATAAGCCTTTTGTCTTGCCAACCATGGTTTTGCCGAACACAGGAACTTTCAGGAACCTAACCCCAGCAGTTGTTAAGGGAAACCTGTACTTTAAAAGAATTACATTATTTTTAACAGACTAACAAAATCATTTCAAAGTAATTCATAGTCTGGGTGCTATGAGTTAACATCTCTTACAGATTGTTTCTCCTTTGAGTTTCATAATAGTGAAATTAATTTGATTATCAGTCACACCAATTGGAAAATTTCAATGAGATAAGCATTTTGACCCCCCAATTTTATTTTTTTTTGCTGTTTTCCTCACCACTTATCCCTTCTCCTACCCTCCCCATCCCTACACATACACACACACAATTTCAAAACATATTATCTACTTAATAAATGCCACTTAACCAGTCAAGTAGGACATAGGTAGCATTCAGACAACCTCTCCCTCATACCAGATGTTCTTGATTTTTATATACTTATTGCTGCCATGAGTGCCATAATGCTCGAAGTACAACTTTACCCTTGTGCATGGCCGGACACGCCACATCCCACCATGGCCCGGAGGAAAACAAACCAGATGTAGGATGGAGAAAATGATGTCAGCAAGGAGAAATAGGCCCCCCACAGGAAAGAGATCAGCAGAATCTGAAAGGGAGAGGTCAGAATGGAAAAAAAATTAAGCCCCAATCCAGGATATTGTCCTGTTCAAGAGAGCACTTTAAGCAGGTATTTGTTAGTAAAACAGAAATCAGCAGACCCCATTCAAACGTTCCAAGTGCAGGTGTCTGGGAGTCTGCTGAAATGAACAGCGGTGGGCAAACGCTTCTGCTTGGTAAGCACCACCTCCAGTTGAGCTGGCACAAAAAATTCCATAGTCTCATTCTTCCAAGCTGGCTTCTTAAAGCACCTGATCCAAAGCCAGCTGATGTCTCTACGGGTCTGTCTGCACCAGTTGGGGCCAACCTTTTTTTGGCAGATGTGTCACAAATTACCTGCCCACCCTTCCCAAGTGCCACTCTGATCCCCTTCCCCTGACCCGTCTGCTGCTCCCCCTTCTGCTCCCAGACCTGTGTTCCCAGCCTAATATTCTCCTCTGCTTTCTGCTTCCTGCTATATCTGCTGCTATGCTGCATGTTCCCTTCCCAGACTGCCACGTACAACTTTTGGCATGTGTCATGGGTTGGCAACCTTGATTTATACCATAGTGCCAGCATGTCTCCTGGCAGAAATGCTTCCAGACAGACCCAACTCAACTCTTCCTGTCCACAAATTTAAAACCTGGAAAGGCATCCATCAGAAGTGTCCCCCTAAGGCAGGGACAGGCAATTATTTCGGGTGGAGGACCGCTTACTGAGTTTTGGCAAGCCATTGAGGGCTGCATGACAGGGAGCCAGGGGCAGATAAATATTAATTTTCTAAATTTCTTAGGGGCCTCGCAGGCTGGATAGAATGGCCTGGTGGGCCGCATCTGGCCCGCGGGCTGCATTTTGCCCACCCCTGCCCTAAGGCTACTCAGAGATCTCAGTCTCTGGAGTACTTGTGAGTGGCCATTGGGTTAACCTTGGAGTGGCCTTACAACCACATTTCTAGGTTTGGAGCAGGAATGGGTGGGCTGGGCATGCTCAGGAGTGTCTCTGACTGGGCATACAGCTACCACAGTGCAAACTCATGCTACAAGTCTTTTAATGGGCTTTAGAGCAAGCTGAAGGGGAAACAAAAAGAGCCAAAGATCCACAGCTTTGCATCCAGTTGATGTTAATGTTACCTTGTTCATTTTTAAATGCTTCAACCTCCCACTACTCAACTACAGTACACAGTCTAGATTCCCTGTCACCAGTGTCTACATTCATAGAGCCTGGTTTCCCATCTTGAAAGGGGCCAGGGACCAGTCTCCTGGAAACACTTCTAATACTGGAAATACATGGGGTACAGAAGTGGGGTAGTAACTTTTTAATAGTTTGCACATCCTGTATTGGTGCTCACCATGTTCTATGTTTTTGGAGGCATAACTAGGGGCCCATGTTTGAAAAATCGCCCCAGATTGCATTCCAGTCCTGCCTGTGAGTCACTTTGTGTCCTTGGGCAAGGGTATGCAAAAATAACAACAGGGATGTTGAGAGGATTGTTTGGGTTATGCTTGTAAAGAGTATGGTACATCTCAAGAGTCACATAAAAGCCAATCTTATTGTTACAGTTTTCCTGTGAGATTGGCTTGAACACTTAATAGTAAGTAAAATGGAAAGTTTGAGAACACTCACTCACCTTCCAGCGACCGTACCTGTCAGCTAGCAATCCAAGGAGTATACTGAATATCATATAGCCAAAAAACACCATCTGTGAGGCAGCAAAACAACGCATAGTTAATTAGGTGGGGGTTCCCACACCTCAAACTTATTTGCTGCACTGCTCTTAAATTTGTGGTTGCTTCTGAAATAGAGGCACTAACAAGAGTGACCTGAGTCAGACACAAAGTCAGCATGCGCAGTTTTTAGAAGGTGCCTTCATCCAAACTGGCAGCCTCCCTCACTATTTCAGTTCTGATCCTCCTGATGAATGGTACCAAGCCTTTGGAAAGAAAATGGCTTAGGATGGAGTAACTGGACTCAGAAGATCTGGCTTCTAACCTTAGCTCTGTCACAAGTTTTCCCTGTGACCCAGGGCAAGTCACTCATTTTTTCTGGTGAGTGACAACAATTCCTTCCCTCAAAGGGCTGCTAGGAGATAGAGAATGCATTTGCACTGTGCAATTCAGTGCTGTGTAGAAATACGCAAGCTAACTTGGGTACAGAAGCAACATAACCACACTAGCATGGCACTTTGCCTAGGCTAATATATTCCACTTCTCAGCAGGGCTAGTAAGCCCCTGATGGACCACTACAGATCACCAGCACTACTTCTGGTACCTGAGCTGGCTCACTTGGGCTAGCTGAGGTGTCTCTGCTCAACCCTGCATTGTATTATGAAGACCTGCCATGAATTCATTAATGTCTATGGTATATTCAGACAATGCAAAGATGAGCCTTCAAAGCATCTATAAGTAAATATATAAAAACTGGGTGCTGGTTTTCTATTTAGGTGCTTATATGTAAGGGCCTAACCAACTCAAGGAGGCAGGTGGCCAATTTCATGGGCAGATTGCAGGGCTGACTGCCATTTTTGAGGGCTTATCATATGCCCCCCCATGCCTCTGATTGGCCAAGAGGCCCCAGTGGCCCTGTCCGCCTGTGTGCCAGCAGCTGCCCCCCCCGCTCTTTCCCCTGGTGGGCTGTGTGGCTGGGAGGACTGCTGGCTCCCACTGAGGAGCCAGCATTTTATTTTTAGTAAGTTTTTGTGTTTGTTTGGGGTTTGGGGTTTTTTTTGTTTTTTTTGGGGGGGGTCCATGGATTTCTCATAGATTGCCCAATTTTGCAATTTCCACAAAATCCATGAAGTTTCACTTTGAGTAGGTCCCTACTTATACGGCCCTCATTACCATTGCAGCTGAGCTGCCTCTGCTCTTGTAAAGTGTGCAATAAAACTAAACCAACAACCACGCCCCAACAATGGTAACAGAGAGGACAGGGTAAAGGGGGATGATGTGAGCCGCTCACCGTTGTCACTAAAGCCACCTGCCAGTCTTGAAGCTGCCACTCACAGCGGATGAGTGGAGAAACAACAGCTATTAGCATGATCTCCATGGCTTCAGCCACCTTGAGGAACAAATATACACATTAAGCAAGGGTGGGATCCAACCTCAGCAAAAGAGCAATGTTTCTTATGTGTTGGGAGAGAAAGTCCAGTCAGGCTAGGGCTGGAACCCAGGTGCTCTGGTATGTCAAGGACATTCATTTGGATAACTGGACAATCTGGATAATCATTCAAGGAGAATGTAAGGAATAGGGGATTGGCATCTCCTCCTTCCTCCCCCAAAACAGAGTATGTCAAAGCCTGTCTGCAGTACGCCTGATCTCCACTGACATAATGACTGGGAGTTCTAGGTCCTCCCTGCAGCATAAATATTGAGAGTAAAAATTCTCAGTATTATTGCCACTGATGTCCTGAACTCTCACAGGACAGAATCACTTACAAAGCAAGGTCAAGAGTGCAGGACCCAATCTTTATTGTCTTGCCTGAGAATCTCGGAAAAATGTGGCACCACAAGGAAGGCTTCTCACCTAATTTCTCATCTCTGGGTGGAGACTGAAAGACTCCTCCCCTGAAAAAGAGGCTCTGACCAAGTGGATTCAACATGGACAATGACAACCATTCTGTCCTCCGGACACTTTGAAAAGCAGATCACCTTGCTTAGGGCCACTTATGCACTTTGAAGCCTAACCCTATTTACTCATTTTTGAAAGACTAGGCCATCAAGTGCAATAATACTTCACTTTTTTAACATGCACAGTCCTGTCCCCCTCTCATAGCTGGCCTCAGCAGCAGAGACAAGAGTGTGCTGTTTACTCATAGCCAGTGAAGCCATTTCTTCAGCTCAAATGATAGCACCTTGTGCTAACAACAGCATTTGGTACTGTCTTGCTCCATATCCCTTGGGTCTAATGCTAGATGATAACAAGGGTATTTGTATGCTTACTTGTACTGTTTGCTAAACAATGAACAACCAGAAAGAGAGTGAAGCAGAATAAATGCTGGCTCCATTTCCCCCCTTGAGCCCATTAACTCAATGGTGAGTGAGATCTGAATCCACGCCACACAGTCCATGATTTCCGTTTCACAACAGCAGGCAGGATACTGAAAAGAGGACGGTTAGGATCAAGTTAGTAGATAGTAAAAACCTATGCCAGTGCTGCCCATAATCAGGAAAAGTGCTATATGAAACCTCCCAAACCCGATGGTTTCCACAGCTTCTTCCACTGTAAATGTCTTCTGCTCTAAACATTGGAGAGAGAAAGAGAAAGAGAGAGAGTTAGCAGTGAGATCAGGCCTCAGTAGGCTTTTGCAGAACAGAGTACCGGCTTGCTCTTGAGGGGCTATGTCATGTCAGGAGAGGGTCAGAAATGCTGCCTGCTACAAGCATACTTCATCAAATAAGCAGCACAAGGAATAAACTTAGGGCACAGAGGTCATGGTGACTGGATATTTCATGGATTAGATAAACTGTATAGCTAAGCAGCGAGAACGAAGAATGTACAATGGTCCAGGAAGAGCACACACCAACTGCTGAAGCTTCCTTAGCCTGACAGAGGGTTTTTGAACCCGAAACCTTGCTTAATAACTATTCTCCAACCATTTGGGTTGGTCTAATAAAAGATCAAATTCACCCAAGGAACCTTGTCTGCCTATGTCCTTAGACCAACACGGCTACAACCCAAACCCCTGCAATGGAAGGAAAAGCACTTTAATGACCATGGCCTTCATATGTTGGTTTTAGCTACTGTATGGGTGCATCTACACCAGATGCTACATTGCCATAGCAATGAGCTAGTGATGTAGCTCATTGCTATGGGGATGTAGCATGAGCAGGCTTGAACCATGACACTGCTGCTACTGCGCAGTAGCAATGAGTAGGGTTGGCGATGACCCATGCAGCACCAGGACTGAGCAGTTCCAGTTGTTACTGTGCCATCATTTAGTACTGGCTTTAGCTAAAGCATGTACTAAATGACTGTGCAGTAACAACTGTGCAGTCGGGCACATGTGTAGACACCCTAGGTATAGCAGCACTTAAAGGAGAATTGCCCAGCGATTAAGACACTAGCTTGGGATACAGACAACCTAGCTACCATTCCAAACTTTCCAACAAACTTCCCGTATGGCCTTGAGGAAAGTCACCTAGGGCCAGATTTGGGGGCCTAAAGTGGGAGTTTAGGCAGATTTCAGGCAATTACATTTGCAATCCTGAAACCCCCTACTCAGCTGTTCTTTGAAGTTGGAGACACCTAAACTCCAGAGACACCTTCCTATTAGACTTTAAAGCTCTCCAGGGACCCAGAGTTGCATCCCTACACACACCCAGAAATTCCCCAGTCTTGACAGGGATGAGCAGCTCAGCACATATCTGGTTGGCCTCCAGAAAGAAAGCATTACTCCATGTAAAACCTAGAAAGGCTTCATCTGGTATGCATTCTCAGAGCATGCTGAACCCTTGCAGACAGGACTGGGTTCCCCACAAAATGTAATGGCAGACAGCACTGCCTCACAGCTTTCTTTTGAAGTGAGCTGAAGGAGGAAGTGGTGGAGGTGGCCTCTTTCATGTGAAATCCTAAAGGTTAGAAGAGCGTAGGTTGTAGCCGTGTTGGTCTAAGGACATAGGCAGACAAGGTTCTTTGGGTGAATCTGATATCTTTTATTAGACCAACTTAAATAGTTGGAAAATTTTTTTAGCAAGCTTTTGGGTTTAAAAACCCTTCATAAGGCTGAGGAAGTCTCTGCAGTTGGTGTGTGCTCTTCCTGGATGGAATTAATACCTATTTAAGTCGGTCTACTAAAAGATATCAGATTCACCCGAAGAACCTTGTCTGCCTAGAGGTTAGAAAAGCATCTGCTTAGAAGTAGGAGGCCTGGGTTTAACTCCTTCCTCTCCTGGGAGGGGTCATCCCAGGTAGCTGACGTCCAATGAGAGTGCCTCTGGTTGCCAAGCTAGAAGTTATTCTGGGTTGAGTCAGTCCTATAGATGGGATAAATTAATTTAAAATTCACTGGACTGACAGAGAGGGAGACAGGGAGTGCAAAAGGTAACATATGACCCTATAGCCTAGCTGTCATAGCACTCACCCAAGAGCGAGAAGATCTGGATTCCTAAGGGCCTTAATGCTAACTTTGCTTCCTCATCTTCAGCATGAACATAGCACAGCTCAACAGTGGGCCCTAACTCTGCTTGGAGGAATTGCTTTAAACACAAAGCCTGTAAGAAAGGACTAATACTTGCCTGAAAGCTCTATTAGGGTAAAAAATCACTTGTTTAGTAGCTGTAACTGATTAGCCTCCCACATGAGGCAACTAGAGGGCTGGGTAATTCTTGCTCACCAAGTATACAGGGTCCATAAGGGTTGACTGCAGGAAGCCAGCCTGACTCTCAATGTAACCCTCCCTCCCAAGATGTGAAGACGTCTATCCATAGGCCAGCTCACATGAACCAACCTTTTTTGGGTTCTTGCCTCTCTGTGCCCATTTCCTCCAGTCCAATGTTACTTGTTGATTCTTTTGGTGTTTCGGCCATCTTCAAACCTCGGTGGTTTCCAGAATGTGATGAGAGGAAAGGCTCTGATTACGCTGCAAAGAAATCACAAAACTGTGTTAATAACAGGCCACAAAGCTGTTTCCAGTGTAAGGCTGGTGTTACTGAGGGCAGGCTCACCATGTTAGTTTTGGACAGCACTTACAGGAAGTGTCAAGGGTGTGGGGTTTCTTTTAATGCCACTTGCTATGTGACTAAACAGTTTAGGGGTGATGTCACAGGACACTTAATAAAGCTGCTAGAGGCAAGTAATCTACTCATATAACTCATTGTTTTATTAAGGGAAATCCAATGAATACCTTCAAGCATCAGGATATAGCAGAGGACCTATGATCAGGACTCCTACAGTCTTCTCCTGGATTGGTCACTAACTCTATTTGACCGTAACTATTCTGGGTCCAGTTTAGCTCACTTGTAAAATGGGTAGCCTAATGCTCACCTCAGGTTAATCGGCAAAGAGCTCTGAGATTCTCTAATGCAGGGACGCTCTGACCACAATAAGCAGTTAATCTTGTCAATGTCTTTTTTCTTTTTTCTTTGACTGTCTGCCTTGGGACCGTCTTTCTTGCCATCACAAATAGTGCAACATCATGTGCTCTGTGCTTTCTGTCTCTATCAACGTTAACTAACGTACCATAGTTTTCTTTCTTTTGAACTGGAATGTGTTTTGTCACAGTTCACCTAGGAACACATGTATTGTTTCAGTTCTTGGTTAACACTGGCTGCTCATGGTCTCTGGTCTAATTACACTCCTATTTGATGTTAAGTCTCTGCCTTTTGGGCTGCATATTCAGGTTCCTTCAAGGAAAGGAGCAATGAGGTAAGGAGGTGGTTGAGTGCATGAGTGCTGATGTTCTTCTTTCTTATGGTTGCACTAGGCTCCTCTGCAGCTGCTGTGAAGTGGAGTGCTGGTGGCCCTGTTCACAATGCATTAGCTAAGAGTGATCATAGTCTTTTGTATTCCCAAGATGATGACTTGTTTATCCTGCAGGCCACCCCAGGTGATGACTCTGCAAATGAGGTTACTAGACATGGACAGGCAGAGAGAGAATGAAAATAAAAATTCTCAATATTATTGCACATACTACTAACGCACCTCTGTCTCACATGATTTCGTATTTCCAGATATTAAATCCCAATCCTAGCAGGGGCCAGTTTCTCAATGCTGAGAGCTTGCATTCAGGATGCAGGGAAGAGAATGATGCTGGTCTTGTGGTAGATGCCTTTGAGATGAAATTCCCTTCTGCTTTTCTTGTGTCCTCGGAGACCCAAATTATGTTTCATTTTAGAAGCTAGCAGCATTGGTGCAACAGGCCAAGTTGATAACGAGGCTCTTGCTATCCTCCCTTCATCTATACAAAGGAGGGTCAATGGCCATCCTAATATTGCCCCCTGCAGTGACCAGCACCTTCAGCATGATCTGGAAGGACAGCCTCTCAGGGTGAAGAGAGCTACTCAGGTTGGGATTTTCAAAGTAGCCTAAGGGCATTAGACTTTCAAAACATCCTTGTGTCTGTAAAAATGGCACTGTACTTACACTGCAGGACTGCTGTAAGGCTTACTTACCATTTGTTAAGCTATTTGAGGAGGTAAAGAGCTCTGTAATTGCTAATTATTATTCTAACGTGCATTGAAATTAAGCCCAGCAGGTAGGAACATCCTGCCTGCGTATCAAAAGAGATTGCCCAGCTGTGTTCTTAAGCAGACTTTCTAAGCCCTTGGCGAACAACACAGCCAGTGTACTCTCTATGCAACCTAACCCCTCATTACGAAAGCAGCAAAACACAGTGTTATTGGTGTCACTCCTCAATGAAAATAAGATCAGAAGGTTCCTTTACAAAGATCCCCCAAAGCCAGATTTATCCCTCATCTCACATTCAACTGTCAGGGGCAGGATAGACACAGGCTGTGCTGCCGTTAGCGCTGACAGAGCAATTGCTTTTTACCCCAAACACCGCAACCCTTTTTTCCCCCTCCCCTGGACACTTCAAGACCAGCCAGAGCCTGATCTGCTAGTCAGGGAGATGAACTTAAAGATTGTCATTAACACTGCAAGGCTATAACTTCACCTACATTTGCAACTTGGTCCAACTTTCATTGACTTCACTGGAAGTCTCCACTTCTGCTTCATTGGGAGTTGAGCCTCAGAGGGCAATACTAGGGAAGTCAATCAGTTGCCCATTCACCCTCTCACACACAGAAGCAACCTACTCTTCCCACCCCAAGAAGACTATGGCAGAAAAGACACAACAGAGGAGAGAAATGTTAGCAGTGAGCTGAGCACTGCAAAGGAAAATGCAGGGAGGCAGATAAGGCAAATCAGAAAAGAAAATGGTCTGAAGAGTGATATCATCACCACGACGGTCCAGGATATATGTGAGAAGCAAGGGGGTTTTTTTGGCCGATAGCTTTAATCATTTCATTTTATAGTTGAGAGACATGTTAGCACTAATATCTGTCCTAACTACAGGGTAACCCA